ATCCTTCCGAGGTGGGTAAAATGAGGACCCAGATTGTTGGGGGCAATATGCTGACTCTCTGTAAACTGCTTAGAGAGGGCTGAAAGCCCTATGAAACGGTATATAAGTCTACTGCTATTGCTATTGCTATTTCAGTGTACTATTGGCTCTGTTATGCAATTCTTTTTCAACAGTATCTTCATTCCTCAGTGAATTTCATATTCCTTTCAAATATTCCTGAGTATTTGGCCCAGGCTGCCTTTTGCTCTAAGCTTGAACAGAAATCAGAATTTTGCTAAAGGGACAAGGCAATCAGGGGATCAACTCCCCCATACCCGCCCCCCCCCCCCGGAGACCTATCATAATGTTATGGTCCTTGGCTCAGCTTCACAGATTTCCTTATTGTAAGGCTCATTAGAGCGAGGGAAAACAGAGACACAGCCGGAGAGAATGGCCTTCCCTTGGGAATTCCCCAAACCACGTGGTTTCTGATTTGAGTGTGCTAATCTGCTAGTGGACTGGTTTCTAGGGTTACTAGACAGTGAAGGGGCCATGTGTATATGTGTGCGGCGAGGTAGAGATAGTAGGAAAGGAGGCCCCTTGTGCAGTATCCCACAAGAACTAACAATGGGTCTTCTTCATTAACAAAGTGCCCTTGTTGCAAAAGATGAAGAAAAGAATCCTTCCGAAGGGAATGTCAGAGATAATAATAAGATGGGGTGAGAGAGGGGAGAGGAATATTAGCATTTTGCGTTTTAGGAATGGTGCTTTCTTTGGGGAGTTGGGGGAAGAGCAAGAATGGAAAAGCTTGAAAGTTTGGTACAAAATACGCTGAGAGTGTGCAAGCTTTCAGATTCTCCAGAGCTCTTTATTAATTGATCTAATTCAACAAGGATGGTGGGAAAGAAGTGGACAAAGCCAAAAGAACATGCCCTGTTTTTATTTGCAATTTAAGAAATAAGATTTTAATTGTCCATGTTACTCCCAAAAAATCAGGGTGTCTTGCCCTCTCCCCAACCTGCCTCTCATCTGAGGCATGTTTTAGAATTCCTTTCCTTGGTCAAAATATCAGAGATCCTTGCCCAGAATCCATGGTATTTTAGTTTAAATAAAGAAATTTCACATTGGGAGCATCATAGCTTATTTATTTAGCATATGGCATATTCTACACGGCCTAGCAATATATATGAACATTTCACTTAGATGAGTAAAGCACAATAAAATATAAATGTCAAAAAGATCTATATTGAAATATTAATGTCTAAGGCTAGGCCATCTAGCCATTGAAGCACAGCATTGTTTATGTTTTATATGTTTATATTNGCCACTTCAGCTGACTGTTATCTGCAGTTCAGCGGTTCTAATCTCACCGGCTCAAGGTTGACTCAGCCTTCCATCCTTCCGAGGTAGGTGAAATGAGGACCCAGAATGTGTGGGCGATATGCTGACTCTGTAAACCACTTAGAGAGGGCTAAAAGCCCTATGAAGCGGTATATAAGTCTAACTGCTAACCTTATACTTTGAAACTAGACTGGATCTGACACAGATTCCAAATTCAAATTCCAATAATATCCAAACCTTTCAGTTGATTATGATAAAGATATTACCCAACTCTGGATTTGTGCTTTCCCCTCCTCCGGACAGCATCTATTACATCCACATTTTCCTTGTTTGAACCTTTCTATATTATTATAAGCACCTTTTTTCCTGACCAAAATTCTAAATACAAAATAATAATAATTTGGAACAGATGGAGAACTGGAACAGTGAAGGGTGTTGAGTGCTCTTTTTACTAAATCTAAGAGTAACTAAAAACACCAGCAACTTTATTTCTTGTCTCAGTTTGACCAAAGACTTGTTTCAGCTATAAATACATTGGGAAGCTCAGTTCAAACTGTCTACCTTATACGTTTAGATAATTCAGTTATTATACTTTAGGAGTGAAGTGCACAACTGCTTAAATGAGCATCAAAATGCTAAATGTTTAAAAGAACTCGGTTCTGTTTTTGTCAAGCCCAGTAAAGCCACTTGTTTTGTTTCCTTTTTTCAGGGACCTGTTGGCCCTTCTGGTGGACCAGGGTTTCCAGGAGCTCCAGGGGCAAAGGCAAGTCATGCTTCAAAGCCAAAGAAATGTCTCTGCAATTGTGTAGCATAAATTGCATCCACCTCCCAGCGTTCTAAATGCCACTCTGCTAACTCGACACTGGGCATCTTTCCTTCTTTTTATCAGTTTATCCATCTGAAGAACAAGGAAAAGAAAAAAAGATTTAATCTAATTTTTTTTAAAAAAGGAAGAAAGTACAGGTAGTCCTTGACTTACCACAGTTCGTTTAATGACTGTTCAAAGTTACAACAACACTAAAAAAATGTGACTTACGACCGTTTTTCACTGTTACCACCTTTGAAGCATCCCTGTGATCATGTGATCAAAATTCAGATGCTTGGCAATTGGTTCATATTTATAACCGTAGCTGTGCCCCAAAATCATGTGATCCCCTTTTGCGACCTTCTGACAAGCACAGTCAATGGGGAGGCTAGATTCACTTAACAACCGGGTTCCTAAATCATCAGCTGCAGTGATTCACTTAACAACTGTAGCAAGAAAGGTCATAAAAGGGGGCTAAACTCACATAACAAATGTCTCGTTTAACAACAGAAATTTTGGGCTCAGTTGTGGTCGTAAGTCAAGGACTACCTGTATAGACTAGATTTATATTAATAGATCTCCCAGGACCCATTTTTGATTTTGAGGATTACTTCTTTGGAGGGAGCAGACAGCCGGAGAATTTTAAGGAATATGGATTATACTGAAGAATATTGTGATTCCATCTTGTCCTGTCTTGTTCTGTTTTATCTGTTTCTGTGGGTGCATAATTTGCTGCAGTGAAATGGAAAAGCAATGAGTCTAGCTAAGAAAACAGTACAAGGAGAAAGCAGGTTTGGGGATTTTTCAAGACTTTTAGAAAATGTCTTGAAATAGAGGCTAATATAATATGGCTTGTGAATATCCTGTATTGGATAATGTGAAGACCTTTGAGTTGATGACAGATGAACCAATTTAGACTTCTTTCTTTTTTTAGTAATGACGATTTTGTTTGTAGGGGGAATATCTTTAACAGAATTAAGGCAATTATTGAATATGTTTAATAATGTTTTTTAAGACCACAGGTCAAAATAACATTTTAAATCAAGAGAAATTCTCCCATTCACTTCCTCATCTAGAAAGTTTGTTGAAATATTTATATTGCAATGATTATCAAATGGAATAATAGTTGAGACTGAAAAATACGCTGGTGAAAAAAAAATCTCACATCCATTTCCTGCTGAATTTTGCTCTTGCCACAAGTCTTCCCACTCACACGTTCATTCACCATCAGTTTGAGAACAGATGTAGAAATTGCTGATTGTGAATTTAGCACTATCCCACATGTGGTAGGATCTTGCCAGTTTAAAAACCGGTTCAGTGAGCCCATGCTTCGCTCGCGTGCACAGTTTTAAGGAAACTTACCTGCTGCATTACTGCTGGGGAGTAACACAGCTGAGGTGTGGCAATCCGCTCTGCTGTGTGAATCGGCTGAGAAGATATAGGTCGGTAAACGCAGGGGCGAATGGGTGGGCCCACCTTATTGTCAGAGCAAACTGGTTCACTCCCAGCTGATCATCAGAGCTACCGATTTGCCTGAACCGCTAGAATCTCACCCCTGCTTAGATACTTGTTCAGATCAGTAGTGGGTTGCAGGCGGTACGCCCTGGTACAGGCTTACTGGTTCCCGCCCAGAGCACCGGGTACCGTTCCAGTATGCTGCTCCGAAGGGCCCACCCTCCCGCCCAAGCTCCTTACCTTTCTTTAAACTCTTCGGCGCTTCCGCCCACGTGCGCAGCATGTACAGCACCTGCATGATGCTTTGCTGAGTAGCTGGAGCATCACGTAGGTTTCGCTGGAGGGTAAGATGCATGCGCGTACTGTGCATGTGTCTGCGCGCGTTGGCGTGTGTTCATATGGAGGATGCCAGGCCCCGGTTGCAACGGGATCCGGAACCCACCACTGGTTCAGATGTAATCAACTCTTGTAAAAGCTGAAGAAGACTCTGCTTTCAGAGCCAAGGTGGCGCAGTGGTTAAATGCAGCACTGCAGGCTACTGCTAGATCAGCAGTTCA